GGGGGGGGCGGGGAGCCCCAGCCACAGAAGCCTGGCAGTGGCACAGGGCCTGCTCACTCATTTTCCGAAGCCCACCACCCAGACAACATCTAGAAGTCTCCAGCCTCTCGGGGAGCATTGCCCAGGGGCCGCCTGCTGGGCTCCTGCCCCTCCCCGCCCCAGCCTGCGTGCCTACCCAGGCATCGGACAGGCGGCGGGATATTCTGAGCCTGGCTGCGTTCCTGTCAGCTGCTGGACGCCATGCCAGCCTGGCGCGGGCACAGGGGCTGATTTGATTTGGCAGCTTTGGGAGCGCGTGGTGGGGACGGGAAGGAGGGGGAGGGGTGAGACACCCAGCCCTGCTAGGAAATAAACAGCCTCGGGCGCAGCAAGCTGGGGAGGGCAATCTGGCATGGGGCGGGGGTGCTTCTCGTGCCCCTTCTCCCTGCCTGGCCATTGGACTTCCGCCTATGACTGCTGGAATCTCGGGCTCTCCATGGTGACCGCAGGGGTGACGGTAGCTGCATCTGGTGTGTGAACATTCCTGGTAGGGCTGTGGCAAGGTGTCTGGATGTCCCACATGGCCCTGTGTCCTGTGGGGCCTCTCCTCCAAGCTCCATCAGCAGCTGAACCTGGGTGTCCCCAAGGTGACTGAGTCTGCGGGGGAGGGACTGCAGTCTAGGTGTGGCCACCTCCAGGAGGGACTGGGCCGCTAGAGGGGCCAGCCAGGGTGTGACGAGGTCACCACGTGCCTGACTCTGCCGTAGGGCCTGGCGTGCGTTGGCTCTGGCCTGCTCCTTCCCTCTGTGCGATGACCCCGCCAACCCCGCCGTGTCCGGCAGAGGAAATGACGAGGGCCGAGATAATGTCTGTCCCCAGCGCCCATCCCTTTTGTCCACAAAGGCTGAGCCTTCTTTTCCACCCATGGCTCTGGCGGCCTACCCGCTGTGCTGCTGGGGACAGCCCTCTCCCCTGCTCTGAGAGGAGGCAGCGCTAGCTTCAATGGATCCTCCAGGGGTCCCTCAGGCTTCTCACGGCTCCCCCGAGAGGCTCCTGCCCCAGCAGAGGCACTGCCCCGGGACCTCCTGGCAGGCTCCTGTCCCTTCCTGTCCCCACCCAACTTCTGGTTTCCTACCTGACTTCACATGTGGAGAAGAGACTAGGAGGAGGGGAGTCTCAGTGGGGAGCCCATGACTCCTCTGTAACCCACCCAAGCCCGGGTGTTTAGCACCGTGAGGTCAGAGGAGCCCAGCTCACCCTCCCGGGTGCCCCAAGAATCCTCGCCAGCCCTCCAAAGTGCTGCTGGTGCCCAGGGACCCGGATGCCCTGCCTCCAGCCACAGAACTGCTACTGGGATTCAAGTTCGGCACGGACTGCTACCCTGGGGGGAATTCAGGAACCCAGTCCCCAAGGGGTCAAGGCTGTGCTCCAGACACCAGGCAGGGCGTCAGGGTGGGGTGGGACCCACTCTGGGGAAGACGCAAAGTCTCATCTGTCACCGCCTCTCCATTGTCCCCACCGTCCTCTGGGACCTCAGGGCTCTCCCCACCCAGCCACAGGAAGCTGAGCCCCTCCTGGAGACATTGAAGGAGGGGCTCAGGATGGAGGGGAAGACTCAGCCCTGCCCTTGGGGACAGGAAGAAGGAACCTGGGCTCAAAGCTCAGTTGTCACAAAGGGGCTAGTGGGACAGAGATGGCCTTCAGAAGTCTTAAGGGGCTTCATGGAGGAGGTGAGGGGTCTTCTAACTGCAGTGGCAGACCTCCGCCCAGGATCTACATGGACTCACATTGGCGTGTCCGTGTGTCCATGTGTCGGTGTGTCCCAGGCATGGAGGCCAGGTCCAGGTCCCGAGGGCAAAGTCTGCCCAAGGTAGGGGCCAGCCTGGAATCAGGACAGTGAAGAAAAGGGGAGTCTGGGCAAAGCAGATAAGCACGCTGGGGCTGTGGGGAGGGCTGTGGGAGAGGCCTGCCGCACTGCTCTGCCATAACCCAGCCAGTCCTTGAACCCTAGCCACCTGATGCCAAGGGCAGCACGCACCATGACCCAGGGGTGGCAGCTCACAGCCCACTGTGCAACTTTGGACAGAACCTCCCCTCTCTGAGCCGTCCTCCTCATCTGAGGGATAGGACTGGGCTTGGTGATCCTTGGTCCTTTCCAGGGCTAACAATCTTTGGAGAGAGATTTACACACAAAGAGAGCCAGAGATGGAGACGTAAGGGAGGGGAAGAGGGAATGAGAGTGAGGGACAGTCGGGGACAGCAGGGGGAAGAGGATGGCCGAGTGGACAGAGAGGCGCCCAGGGAGGCACACTGCGAAGGGTTCCCTGCCGGGGACTCTGCCCTGTAGACAATGGAGCCTTGTGGAGGGTGGGGAGCAGCTGTCACACCCCACCTGCTTTCTGGCCTGTGGGAGGGGAGAGATGGAAGGGTGGGGGACAGCAGCTCTGCCCTGAAGCTGAGTCCTGCTTCTGCCCCTGCTCCCCAGGTGTCCCAGAGGAAAGAGGGAGGAGGCTGTGGACAATGGGGAGCACCGACGACAGGGACTCAGGAAGCCTGACTGCAAGCCCGGTCCTGCTGCGTGACCTAGGCCAGCTCTGATCTGTGGATCTGCCAGGCTGGGAAGCCCTCGGGTGGTGCAGCTGTCCAGGGCCTCTCAGTACCCTGCCCAGACAGGAACTCTAGAAGGCCACAGTCCTCCCCTCGAGCCTGGACCCCTCTCCAGCTCTGGGTACTGTGACCCAAAGGCAGAGAGATACAGGACAACTGGGCTGGCCTGGTGCCAGGCGGGGCCCCAGGCCTGTAATACAGGGGAGGGCGTGTCAGCTCTTCCAGGGCCCCGGACCGGGCCTGCCTACCTCGATTCTCTCTCACTGCTGCCCTCACGGCAGTAGCAGGGTCCCCTCCAGCCTGCACAAGGGACTGCTGATGGGTCCCCTCTGACTGCCCGGCCCTGCCCTTGTCCGGGCCTTTGTACTCGGGGCCGCATAGGCAGTGGTTCGTGCCTATCCATGCCTGCGTCCAGGAAGTATCCGTGTCCTGTTTTCCCCTCAGGCGGGGGCTGCCGGGGAAGGGGGCGTGAACACCCTCTCCTTCCTCCACTGTCCACATTTCTGCCAGAGACTTTGGGGGCTGGGAGGGAAGGGCCTCCTTTCTCCTCTGTAGTCTGAGGAATGGTGTTGGGGGTGAAGAAAATGAGCCCCTTACCCTAAAGCTTAGAGAGTGGCAGGTCTGTCTGTCTGTCTGTCTGTCTCCCTCTCTCTCTGTTGCATGCACACACACACAGCTCTGTGTGGCAGGAGAGACAGAGTGTGGCCAAGCTGAAAGGGTCTCCATTCTCCCCGCTCCCTCCCGGGGAAGGTGTGGGGGTTCCGCCACCCCGAGCTATCTGTCTCCATTGCTTCTTGTTCTGTGTTAATAACTGCACATTGACACTAACAAGGCAGGTGGCTGCGGCTCTTCCCAGCAGCCCCATTTAGAATCATTGAGTCGTCAAATCATCAAATCCTAGAGTCCCAGATCCCCAGACTGTCCGTGCCTTCGGTTCCTGGAGCCTCGGCATCTTAAAGTTACAGAATGTTGGAGTCACACAACCACGTGTTCACACAGCCCTGGCTGGGAGCCAAAAAAAGGTGAGAGCCCGGCCGGAGCCACACACCGACAAGTCCACGTTCTCCAAACCCTACACCCCAGGAGCTGGAAGGCATCTGTCTCTTGGAGATACTCACCCCCACTTCCTCCTTTTACAGATGAGCAAATGCAGCCTAGAAAATGCTCCTGGGGGGCCAGCCCCATAGCTTAGTGGCTAAGGGAGCCAGGTTCCACATGGTCCACCACAGTTCGAAGCCCAGCTCTGGTGACTTGAAAAACACACTGGGCACATGTATGTGCATGCCCCAAACCCCAGCAGGATGGAGAAATGAAGGAAACGGGGCTGTGGCCCCACCATGCCCATGGAGGTGGGGTGCTTCCTCCCTCTCTCTCCCTCTCTGTCTCTGGCAAGAGCAGGCACCCTCTGGCAATAAAAAGAAAGAGAAAGGGAGGGAGGGAGGGAGGAAGGAGAAAGAAGGAAAAACAGAGAAGAAAAGAAAGAAAAGAAAAGAAAAGGAATTAAGAGGAAGGAAAAGGAAGGAAAAGAAAAAGAAAAGAAAAAGAAAAGACGGTCTTGTGCGAGGTGACAGAGTCTGAAGTCAAGCAACGCCCGCCCTGAGATCGCAAGACGAGCTGAGCATTCCGGTGCACCATTCCGGTGCACCGAGAAGTGCCGAGAAGTGGCGCCACCTTGAAGCTCTGAAACACCAGATTCATGTTGGGCGATGCTCTTTCAGCTCTGCTCACTTCCCCTTCTCTCCTCCTGGCCCTCCCTGCTCTTCCTCCTGCACCCACAGCCCTGCTCTCTCGCCCCTCCCATCTCCCCTGGGCAACCCCAAATAGAAGTAACCACAGGGCCAGCTTCTCCAGTGGAGGGCAGGAATAGCAAAATGCCTGACCCCTGAAGCCACAGCGAGAGAGCAGGCTCCCCAGAGGAGGAGGCCCCTTGGGAAGGTTCTGGAGTCCAGGGAAGGGGGACTGGAGGGGGCAACTACGGCAGGTCCCACGACATCTGACAGCCAGATTCAAAGTCCAGGGGTGTAGCCGAAGCTGACGATGTACATTAGACCAAGCACATAGGTGATTTTCAAAAATGAACGTTTTACTCATTTTTAAATGTATTGATACATTTTTGGATTTGAGTTTTATTAAGGATTACATTTCACAGATTGTTTTCATTTCTGAATCCTGAGAACGCTTTGCCCAGGGCAGATCCTGAGTTTCCCATGGGCCAGGTGAGGATGCAGCCCCTGAGTGGGCCCAGGCATCTTGGCCTTGATTGGCCTTAGCGCTCCACTGGGACCTCCTGGGAGGCCTTCTTGAGACCTTCCTTCTCTCAACTCCCGTCGTCTTCCCGGAACCTCTCAGAGACTGCACAATGCCCAACCGGACACCTGGCATTCTCCTCCCTCGTCCTCCACCTCTGCAGTGAT